AAGAGTGTGCGTAGAGGTGAAAGGCTGCCCACTGGTGCATTATGGCCACTGCCCCCTCCTTGCCCTCCTGGACACCACACTTCCCACCTGTTTTTTCTTGGTTTCCTACAAGGCTCAGGTGAGGAGTCACTGATGTATCCTATAGATCAGACACTTGACACCTTTCTTTTCTTTCAGTTATGGTATCCGGAATCGGGATGAGGTGTCCTTCATCAAAAAGCTGAGGCAAAAATGAACCTCCAGGCAAGGACAACTCTGTGCTGCAGCCAAGCTGTTCTCCAACAGCAAGAAGCCTTGGGCCACTGTCCCCTTTCACAGAAGAGTGTCAGGGTGCACACAACTGGAACTGTCAGTGTGAACCTTGGGCCTTCAGGACTAGGACCAGAGCTTGACCCCTCCCTGGGCCCAAACACCCTAATGGCAGATCCCACAGAGCTGTGTACAGAATAAATCTCTCTGCTTCTTAGTTTGAAAAGTCAAAAAGCCACAGTATCAGGGCAGGAGGGACTGGTGCTGTCTCATGACAGAGGGGAGGCAAGAGCGGAGAATGGTGCAGGTGAGTCAAGTTCAAGATGCCACATGGTCCTGTTAACTGTGATCGCTACAGCAAGGAGGAAATAAAAGCAGCGTAGCTGGCTTTGTTTCTGCTTGTGGAGAAACAAATAAGGGCCTATGCGAGACCACAGATATGAACAGGCACTCTGGCCCCAGGCCTCACCCAGCATCTCCCCCTAGCTCCTAGAAAGCGAAGTAGCTGGGGGCTGAAGTTGGAGCTGCCAGCTGGGCAGAGGGCTAGGTTGAAGGCGCTTCTCAGAGTGTGGGGAAATATGACAACACATCCATGGGTCCATATCCCATTGTAATTTCCAGTCACTAAGGAAGGGGTGCAAGGTGGGTCCACCTGACTGAAGGACTTCCCTGTTCTGGGGAATAGTGAGTAAGAGGCCAGGGGCCTGAAGGACCTCCCTCCACAGCCCCCAGCCAGAAACCAGAAAAGAGGCAGCTCTGGTCAAGTTAGTGGCAGCTAAAACGCTCCCAGTCCATTTATTGGCCACATGAGGTGGTCGTCAAGAGACTAGTTAGAAGGTAATCAAGGGAACTAGTGTAATAAATGCCCCGAAGTATGAGAGGTTCAACAGCAGTGAACAAGGCACAAGAGGTGTGTGTCCGACAAATGGGCAGGACTCCTCCCAGGGCTGGCAGGCAGAGTCCCGTGGCCTGTGAGGCTCGGAGTGGACAGTCTGCCCGGCTCTGGCCTATTGGAGCATGTGGCCTCAGCACCCCCGCCAGCTCAGTGGAGCTGGGCATCGAGCTCATACTTCTCACAGAACTTATCAGTGAAGGGGATGCAAGTGAGGAACTCACACCACTCACAGCGGACAGGGTAAAAATAGAAGAGGACCACCAGGCCAGCCAGGAGGCCCAGGAAGATGGCCTGGAAGACGATGATCTGGCAGCGCTTGCGGTACAGGTCAAACCTGCCGAAGCTGATGTAGGGCAAGAAGGCAAAGGAGAGGAAGAGACCACTGACGAAGCCAGAGATGTGGGCGAAGTTGTCGATCCAGGGCAGCAGCCCAAAGGTGAAGAGGAAGAGCACCACCGCCAGCAGCTTGAAGAAGGCACGCCAGGGCCGAGCCAGGATCTGCCAGCTCTGGAAGAGCTCCACGAAGAGGCACGCCAAGATGCCGAACTGCGAGCCAGCCGGGCCCACCTGGGAGGCAGGAGGGGCTGAGCAAGACCCCCGGACCCATAGCCTTGTCTCCCTAGCCCGCCTCCCATGACCCAGAGCACAGCAGGATTGAGGAGGCAAGTGGAGATGCTCCCAAATTGGGACCCACACTCAGTGCTGAAGGTGCACCCTGGGGGCAGCCTTACCTCTGCCCGGTACGGCAGGAAAATGGCACTAGCTAGGTTACCGGTGACGCCACTCAGCAGGTAAATGATGGCTATTCGGTGCCAGCCTGCCAGCTTCTCCAGGTCCCGCAGGACGGTCATCTGGAAGCAGACGGACACCAGGCAGTGCAGGATGCTGTTGGGGATGAGGGCACTCAGCAGGGAAGGCCACACCCCCTAGCCAGCCACTCCAGGGGACCGTGAGATACCCACCCTACCCAGCCCTGCTCAGCCCATATGGTGTCACTTGCCCAGCGTGTAAGAAGAGGGACAGCCAGAGGCGGTAGAACTGATCAGGCACCTCGGGGTTGAGGAAGGGCAGGAGCCCGCACACGTCATCCATGCAGTGCACCTGTGCAGAGTGGCCTGTCAGCACCCTCCGTGGCTGGGGGGAGAGGGGAGGGACACACCCTGGAGGCGTACCTGAGAGCAGAGTGTGGCCTCCTCGTGGAAGTAGCCCCTCATGAAGTCACAGTACTCCCGAGAGGTGATCTCACACCTGGAAGGTCAGGCCAGGGTTGGGAAGACTTGCAGAGGGGGATTGCTGGGGCCCAAGGACAGAGGCACCTGACTACACCCAGGCCCCCGTTTCAGCCTCACTTGCCCAGCTTCATCGGCCCTGGGTAAGTCCAGACTCTCACTCCATGCCCCTTAGTATCTTGGGTTGTTTCAGGACTTGGTAAGGGAGAAGGGCACAGCCACAGGGCAGTGCTCTGCACCCAGGCACACCTACCTGCCCTTGGTGCCAATGCAACAGGGCCGGCCTGTGATGACACAGTCCATGTGAGGATGGTTGGTATGGTTCCCAGCACTGTTTTTGGTGCAGATCTGGGTCACAAATGGGGGCAAGTTGGGTCAGGGCCTTCCCCAATCCTGGGCCCCACACTATGCTTGGGGGTTGGGGCAAAGGTGGACAAGCTCCTACAGTAGAAAACAGATCTCCTTGACTTCAAGCAGGCTACCGTACCCTAAGTCTCAATTTAGCCATCTGTCAAACTGGAATAATGTCACTTGACCTCCCAAGTCTCTACCTGGTTCTCCTGCTCTATCTGCTCAGAAAGGCAGGTGTTGGAGGAGGAACAGGCTGGGCAAAGACCAGGGGCATTGCATCTGAAAACAGGGTGATCCCACAAAGGTCAGGACCTCCTGGCATCACGAATAGGTGGGGTGTGGATTCTTCCCCCACATGACAGGGTGACTCCCCACCAACCCCTCTACCCAGGCTCACCGGCCACTTGGTGATGTCATCTGGCCACTCATGAGGGTCCTCAGAGGAGGGCTCATCACATACCCTGCATGAGCCCAGTATGTGGTCAGACCCTGCTTATGTCCTTAGTGTTGGCACCCTTCCACCCGACTCCATAACAAGGGGAGCACCCTCTCTCCCCAGTACCCAGGGAGACATGGACAAAGGGGAGGGGCTAGCAAGACTGACCTGGGGTCCTGGTGGCAGACAGAACCAAACTGCCTCTTGTGGCCAGCAAGGTCTGGGGCACTGGGATGAAAGGGCCACTTCACCCACACTGCCAGCGTGGACTGCGTGAAGACACAGGGTAAGCCCCTGGTCAGAGCCCTCATCCAGTAGTCTCCAGAAGGCCAGAACCAAAAGCAAAACCACTGAGATCTTCCTTCTGAGCCCACAACCCAAACTCCATAAATTTACACTCCAGAAATGTGCATGCATGTAGGGATGCTGTTACAAGCTCAAGAGCATAATTCCTATTAGCTTAGAAATAATCTGTGTCTCAAATCAGGGAACTGGTATAAACTTTGGTACTTCATAAAATGATGTAATAAAAACTTGGTGGAATCCTTTTTTTAATTGTTTAGTGAGAAAAAGTAAGGCAATTCCTCTTATGTAAACTTAAGACACACAAAAACAAGACATGCAGAAAGAGCACACTCAAAGACACATTGCAGTGGTCGTCTATGTGATGAGATGAACGAGTTGGGGAATAAAGAGTAATGAATGAATGTGATGTGAGGAACCTTGCACAGAGGGATGGTGTAAAGTGCTGGAGATCTAGGATAAAAGATAATGGGCTCCATCTGAAGTCACAACAACAAACATGCAGTGCAGACAGGATGTGAGTTGCAGGCAGGGGCACACACCGAGCACTCCTCCTCCGAGGTCTGCACGCAGCCAGACCGGTCATTGCGAACGCAGCAGGCTGAGTGCTTCTCACGCTCCCGCGAGGCACGGATGAAACTATGCACCTGCGGATCCTGGCGCATGCAGGGTGAGAACTTGGCACCCAGGTGAATGAGAGCCTCCTGTGGGTGATCGGGATGTGCAGCTGAGGCCCTGGCCCCTGCCAGCCCAGGATCCTCGCCCACCTGCCTCACCAGGCCCCACCCTCACCGAGCTGGGCCCAATCCAGAAGTTCTCTTGCTGAACGTACTTGACATTCTCATAGACCCCGCGGTTCCGCAGCACCTGGGAGGTTGGGGAGAGAGATCAGCCCACTTGGGCCCTCCCCTCCCAGCCTCAGTGGGAGAGAGTCCAGAGCCCAGACTCCACTAGTGTGGGCCCAGGAAGGGCGCGGGGGCTCACCGAGTCCACAGTCTCATGCTGCGAGAAGCCTACGGGTGCGATGCCATAGATGCACACGGCTAGAATGGTGACGAGCGAGTGCACAAAGGTGAGCCAGTAGGTGAAGAAGGGCCTGCAGGGCGAGAGCATCAGCGAAGGCGGTGTCTCAAACCCGGTACCCCCACTCCCAACCCAGAGCCTTGCCTGCCCTAAGCCACATGCCTACCTGTGGTCGTCCATGTCCTCGATCTGGCGTTTGACATAGCTATCAATTCGCTTGCGGTAAGTGCGGTTGGTTAGCCGGCCCACCATGCCCAGTCCGTACGGCCGCTTCTCCCTAGCAAAGAACTTGCGCACCGGCATTGCAATGCGCTGGCCCCGCCGCTGCCCAGCCGCGCTCACTACCTCCTGGCGCAGCCGCACCTTGGGCTGCGGGGCTGCGGCGCCACCCTCCTTCTGCTTCCGCCAGCCACGTTCCAGGGGCCTGAGGGAAGGGGCGAAGTCACATCCTGCCCCAGGCCCCAGACCTGCTGCAGCCCCTCTGCAATGGGACAAGGGCCACCTTCCATCTGTCTTGGTCCCATCTAGCGATGAAGGCAGAAGGCACTGTGCAGCCTCCTCCTTACCAGTAAAGAGCAATCCTGAGGTCCTCAGGGATGGTAGGCGGCTGGGACCAGACCTGAAAGCGGTTCCCTGGCCTCCCCACTGAGTTCTCTTCAGCCCGTGGGCTCTGGGATTGCGCTCCTGTTTCACAGGCAGGCAGCTGAGGCACAAAAGGTGCCCAGCCCTAGGTCTGCCAGCCACAAGAGCCAAGCAGACCCTGCCCCCTCAGCCCACGGGGGAGTCCTGCCCCAGAGACCAGCTGCTCCTGACCTCCAACCACTTACACTCCCTGCCCCCTCACTGCGGCCACTCACAGCATCAGGTGGCTGCGCTCCAGTTCTGTGCGATCCAGGGCCCCACCCGTGAGGTCCCCTTGTTCCGGGGCTTTCTCCCAGTCCTTGAGCGCCGCCTCCGATGGGGTCTCGAACACCTCGTCTTGGTATGTGGACAGCTCCTCATGAAGGACACCTTCCTGAGCAAACACGCATGGTCAGGGTGGGACGCATCGGCGAAGGGGTGTTGGGTGTGGTCTTGGACTGTGCTCTTACCCGGGCAAAGAAAGATGTGTCCAGCTCATCGGGGAAGTCCACAGTGTCCTCCTCCAGGAAGCTGGCGGGAGTGAAGCTTCGGCGCTGCACCCGGCGCAATGTACCATCCCTAACCGAGCGGCCCTGCCAGCAAGGAGGTGAGTACACGGCTTGGAGCCCCAACCCCACCCAACTCCCACCCCGGCCCCTGCACCCACCTTCACCAGCGCTGCAGCCGCCCGGAAGCTCATCTTGGCCACAGACTCACGCTTGCGCCTCCGCGGAAGCCGGTTAAAACCCGAGCGGGAGCTGGAGAAGGAGCAGAGGGAGGCAGCACCCGGCGTGACGGGCGTGTGCGGGGTACTCAGGCCATCGGCGGTGTCATCCGCCATGCGGAAGGCCCGGCCCCGGGCCAAGGGGTCTATGATCTGGTGGAGGGGAGGAGACGCAGGAGTCGGGGGACGGTTGGGTCATCACCACATGGGCTCCTTCCCCACCCAGGACCTCACTGAAGAACACAGCTGTTGCTCCTCCCACATCCCAGTGGATACCCAGAGAGTGGTGGGTACCACCCCACCCCAATGCGCAGAGGGGTCCCTCTCCCCACCTGTAGTGCCTTTACACTGCTGTTCATCCTGAGATGTTGGCCCCATGGTACAATCCCAGGCCCCCTTCCCAGAGAGTCTCTTAGGTGTCTTTATGACCATGCTCCCCGACCATGAGCTCCAAGGAACCTCCTCTGCTGGGGCTGGCTGTGTCCCTCACCCCATCCCCAGGGAGCAGAGTGAGGAGCCTGTGGGAGGCAGCAGAGGGTAAGCATACCTTTTGCATACCCAGCTGGCAGGGCCCCACATACAGTGGAGGAGGTGTCTCAGTGCTGGTCAGCGACACATTGTCCTGGCTAGGCAGGTCTAGCTCCCGGATGACCTGGGGCTTCAGCTTCCCATAGCGCTGGCTGCAGTGACGGATGCTCTTGCGCTGCCATTTCTGGGTGCTGTCACTGTCCTTGCTCACTCCAAACCAGTCAGCTGTGCCCCTGCCATGGAAGGGACTCAGCGAGTGGAAGCCAGATCTCTTCCCTCCCCAGCAGGAGCTTCAGAGGTCCTCCTCCTAGGAAGCATGCCCCACCCCAGGCCTCCGGTCACTGTAGGGTCCAGGGTCCAGTTAGGTCCGATTTAGAGGATGAGTGGGTTCCAGCCCCCTAAACAATTAGCCAACTCAAAATTCCCACTAGAACCGCAGATGATAGGCCCTGCCCAGGTGCGTATTTTACACAGACTCGCAACCAATCCCTGAGATTTTAGGGAAACACTGAGTCCAGAGATGGTGCTCAGAGCTCCGCCCTTAGCTCACCCAGACAGCTTGGCCCTGGGCAGCAGCTTGACCTTGGATACCACAGAACTCAGGCAGTGGGCACCGCAAGTCCAGGCAGGCTGCCCATAGCCCTTGGACATGCAAGCAAAAACACTGCCAGCACCAGAAGTTAGGAACCCCAAAGAATGCAAACTGCTCCCAAGAGGTCCCAAGCCATGCACACACCAGCTGACACTAACACACTCACGCCCTGCCCAAGGTACCTGAGCAGGGACCGAGAGAGAGACCAGCGCTGTGGAAGGGCCCTGCGGGCAGCAGGGGAACCCAAGAGGGGTAGAGTGTGGACACGCCCAAAGCGCACCTGTCGGCTGTTCAGGAGTCAGAGCATTGGGGTGGGGGAGACAGAGAAGGAGAGAGCAAGTGCTGGAGGGGAGCAGAGAAGGGTGGTAGGTGAGAGGAGCCAGTCCCCAGAGCAGGAAGGCAGGGTGACACAGGGAACAAGATCGAGGAGAAAGCCGAGACAGAAGGGGCCCTTGCGCTATTCCCAGCCTCAGTACCCAAAGTGGACTATGGATGCCTGCCTCTGTCCCACCAGCCCCCAGGCCCCAACCCAAGAAGCAGCCAGGGCAGTGTGGTACCTGCGGATGGTCTGCGTGATAGACGTCTGGCGCTGCAGCACTGGCCGGCGGGGCTCATAGTAGGGCGAAGGGACGTGGGCCGTCTCAGCTGGCATACTCACACTCCTCAAGAAAGCCTGGCGTCTCAGGGGCTGGGCAACGGGGTCATGGTAAGGAGGCTGGACAGGATGTACCCACAGCCCCTGCTGGCCAGGACCTACCTGCAGGAAGCTGGGTTCCTCAGCCACTGGAGGTGCCACAGCTGGAATGTCCAGCTTCAGCCAGGGCGGCTTCTTTCGCTGCAGGCTGCTAGTGCTATCTCTGCGGGCCTCGCTCATGGTTCCAGATGCAGCGAAGTGGGCCTGGGAGTGTGATGTGTTATTCAGTAACAATGCCGACAATCATCTGAAGGTTCCTTGGGCCCAGACCCAGGAGGAGAGAGAAGCAGCAGTAACTCCAATAAGGGTAATCACGGCTCCCATTGCTGAAGTCCTACTCTGTGCTCCACACTAACACGCTCTCTGCCTTATTCGTCTCTATAGATACCGCCAGGCACATACTAGGTCCTCAGACAATATAAACTCATGTGACGAATATGGGAGCACCTACTATGAGCCACTCCTAGGTGCTGGGGACACACTGGTGTAGAGAACAAGGAAACCAAAACAGACAAAACCTCTGCCTCCCTGGAGCTTATAAGCCAGACAAACCATAAACCTAAAGTAAATAGATATACTGTGTTAAAAGATGTGAACTGTGATAGGGACAAAATCAGCACATTACAGTTGCCAGGGGCAGTGATGCCTTCCTATGAGGTGGCATCTGAGCAAAGGCTTGAAGGAGGTGATGGAGTGAGCAAGGCTGGGGGTTAGGGGTTGTTCCCACTACAGGGAATTGCCAGTGCAAAGGTCTGAGTGGGCACGAGAACATCGGCAGGCTGAGGAGCTCGCCCCAGTCTATACACAGGGAAAATTTCAGCCCTCAGCCTCTTATCCACCATGCTGTCCACCCCAGAGACAGAGGGCCCACTACGCCCACCACAGGAGTGTACTATGGCTCCACCTCACTGAGTGAGTGGCTGGCTTCCCAAGGTTCCACAGGAGTGTACTATGGCTCCACCTCACTGAGTGGCTGGCTTCCCAAGGTCTGAGAGCTCCTACTGCAAAGGGACCTCCTGAAAACCACCTGGGCACAGACGCTGTCGTGACCACCAGGGTGCGCCATGCGGCCAGAAACAGCAGCAAAACAGTTCAGCGCTGGGAGGGTGGCTTGCCCAGCACCACACCTCAGCATCTGAGACCCTAACCCTAAATCTACCACTTAGACACAGGGTTAGGGCCCAAGACCCAGAGCAGAGAGGCCAGGGTTTTATTTGGGCCACTACGGCTTGGCCATGTGACCGTGAGGCAAAGGGCCTGTGACCATGGCTTCCCTGGCCCTCTATTTCCCTCCTTACAAAATGGTACTTTCAGGACCAATCTAAACAGATCTCCCCAAAGAAGGACCGCAAGGGATCTGGAAATAGAATATCCGAGATTGAGAAGGTTCTATGAGCACAATGAGGGGTATGGATACCAAAGGAGTGCCCAAGCAATACTCGGAACAGAGACCCCAAAATTCCTCAGCCTCCTCAAAGACCTTCTGACCCCAAAGCCTCTGAACTGCGGGGTTTATAACCCACCCACTAACATCCCTAGAAACAGCTTCCACTTCTGAGCCTCCTTCGCAACTGCTTGGAGGAAATATTGAGAAAGCCCCACCCATACCTTAGAAATAAGGAAACTGAGGCCTAGAAAACAGAAGCTTGACTTTCCCAAGGTCACATATTAAGGGTAGCATAACTAGAGATAGGCTTAGGATGCTGCTCACAGCTCCTACTGGACCTATACAGACCAGGGAAGGGTTAGGACTGTGCTCAGAGCAACTCCCAGCTCCATATTGAGCTGGGAAAGTCCGACAGTGTTTGCTCCCACTTCTACACAGACCAGGGAGGGCACGGGGTGCCGAGCACAGCTCCTTCTGACCCTACACAAAACAGGGACAGCTCTAGATGCTGCTCCCAGCTCCTCTTGGCCCTATACCAACCAGGGACAGGCCCAGGACATTTCTCACAGTTTCCACTGGTACTGTGTAGACCAGAAACAGCCCTGGACATTGGTCACAACTCCTTCTGGCCCTACACAGACCAGGGACAGGCTGAGCATGCTGTTCACAGCTCTTACCAGCCCTGCACCACTCAGGGACGTGCTTGGAACAGTACTCACAACTTCTGTTGGCTCTACACCAATTAGGGCCCAGCCCAAGACCCAGCTCAAAGGTCCTACGAGCTCTATATCCACTGGGGGCCAGGCCAAGATGTGGCTGGTAGCTCTGCCTTACACCAAACAGTGCTGAGCCCAGGACACAGTGCACACTCCTAATGGCTCTAGATTGACCAAGGACAGGGCCACGCCACTGCTCACAGATCCTATTACCCCTATACTGACACTGCTCACCACTCATGTCCCCTTCTGGGCCAATACCAATTAGGGACTGTCCCAAGGCACTCCTCACGGGTCCCACTTGTGCTACACCAACCAAGAACAGGCTCGGCCCTTCAGGGATGCCTTCTCCTGGCTCTTGCCCCATCCTTCACGGTCCAACTTCTTTGAGCTAACGGTGCACCCGGGGATCTTTTCATCTCTCCCTTGCTTTCATGCGGTCTGATCTCAGGGTAAGGGCCAACGGCAGCATTTATTCACATGTCACTGGGAATCCCTCTGAGCTCCCTGCCCATGTGAGCCCCAGAATGTGGGGTCACACGGAGGAGTCCCCAGAAGGGGACAGAAGCAGACAGGGTGCAGGGACAGTGTCTGAAATGAAGGCATCCTGAGAACTGGGTCTCTCTGGGATATGAACCAGGAGATCAGCACTCATCCAGCCTATGCCACAAACCCAGCCCAGACCTATGTGTCCTGATACGGCTCAGCCACATCATCAATAGGTCACAGGTCAGCATCTGCCAGCCCTCCCTTCACAGATCATGTACTTTATGACCCCTCTTCTGGTAAGGAAGTGACTGGGAAGGACAGCCCTGGGGCTCAGCACTAGCAGTGGGATTTCAGACAGTATCAGGTACGTTGGGAAGGCAGACAGTGATCAGAACCTGCGCTGCTGTGACAGCATCCCCAGTGTACCCTCCAAGCCACAGTCAGGCCACGCCTACCAGGTGGGGATCCAGGAGATCTGACCCCCAAGATTATGCTGGACCCCATGGGGCCTTGTGGGTGAGGGGCCAGACAGGATGGGAACCCCCTTAGCATTTCGGATGCGGGAGGCTATGCCACCTTTAGTCTGTCCCGGCTACTCAACCACCACATGCCTTACAGAGCCTCAGTGTTCTCGCCTGGAAAAGGGGCTGGTGCTTCTGGTGGAGCCTTTGTGAGATCCGAAGAGCAACAGGGCCAGGAGTGGCTCCTGGGATCACTGCTGGGAATCACTGCTGGGTGCTGGGGGGCCAGCCTCTTCAGGAGCCTCTCCATGCATGCCCAGCACTCCTAGGTGACATCAGATGGTTCTCCACTCAGCAGTGCAAGAAACCCTTGCCAGCCGATTGGCCCGCCCTACTACACATACTCATGACTTTCTATGGCTCCCACTGCTCCCTGACCCACAGCCTCTCCTCACACCTGGCTCCCTCTGGTCTCAGGGCCCTGGCCCTACACACGCGTTCTGCCCAACCTTCCACATGTCCTAGGACCTGCAGCCTCAGTCAGGCTGCCCTAACCCTAAGAGGCGCTCCGGGCCCTGGAGTCCCCTTGCACGCTTGGGAGTTTGCCCATGTGTGTGCTGTCCTGTCCTGTCACTGCCAGGTCCACAGTGCCCACGACAGACCAGCTCCAGAGCTGCTGCCCAGTAAATACTGGTCACTTAGGAGCACAGGCTAGCAGAGCCCATCTCCATGGTGATGGGGGATTCCTGAAGATGACCTGAAGTTGGGTCTGGGAGGAAGAGCTGGTCAGGGCAGGAGCAGCATAAAAAGTTTGGGAAAGGGTGATGAGCGAACACAGGGAGCTGGACATCCTGCCCGCCCCCACCACCCTAGACCCCACAGGCCTAGGCCCACAGTCTGTCACAGGAACACAAGAGCTGCTCAGCTCGTGAGGGAGGCACCTGCTCTGTGCCTGTACCCCCAGACCTCCCGGTGTCCCTCACCTCCACCCAAATCCCTCCTGTATTTGGGGCGGAAGCAGGAGGGAGCTCTGTAAGCCACATGGCTCCAAGGCAACCAGCCTGCCCTCAGTGCTGTGGGTCCCTGGTCTGCCTTACCCCTGTGTGCCCAGTTTCCCATCTGAGCCTCAAGTGAGTGGGATTCACAAGGGGCGGGGGTGGGAGGGGTGCTCCACAGCGGGCCCCAAGGGTGTGGAGGAGGGACAGGCCCAGGCTGGACAAAGAGTCTGGTCTGGGGAGGGGTCAGTGTCCACCCAGAGGAGACAGTGGCTCAGTGTCCAGGCCTCCCTTAGGAGCACAGTGGGCTCTTGTTCCCAGACAGCCCCTCATGGGGGAAATCCCAATAGCATCTCCACTCTGCTGACCCTTCAATGCAGGGAGAAACCACAGCCCAGGGAGGGTGGACCGCCCAGGGTCACACAGTGTCTGAGTCACTCTGGCAACATTCATGACTGCCCACCCAGTGCCCAGTCCCTTCAGGAGACACCCAAAGGGGCATCTGGAAGTAAAGTGAGAAGTACTGATGAAGTAAACACCAACTGTGGGGACCCAGCCCAGTAGGAGGGCACAAAACGGCACTGCACCCCTGGTCCTTACACCTCGGGATAAGTATGGTGCAAGACGGGAGATAAAGCTGAGGGACAAGGGCCCCGCAGGGTCACGGGACCACTGAGGCTGCTTTAAGAGGCAGTGAGAGGGGTGGGAGCTGCTGTAGCCATCAGGGCAGAGGGCTGGGTGGGGAGCAGGAAGAGGGTCCCACTGACCCAGGTTCCTGCTCTGGGGTTGACTAGGGTCCCTTCAGGCTGGCACTGTGCATGGCTGCAGGAGGGGCCAGGAAGCAAGAGCCAGTACAGGGAGGCCAGTGGGGAGAGCCTGGCCCAAGACACTGTACACAGACCCTGCTCACCTCCAGCACCTGCGACCCTATGCAAGTTTCAATTTTCCCATTTGAAAACCGGGGGCCACAGCAGTTCCTGCCAAACAGTATGTGTTCAAGAAGCAGCAGCTGGATCAAAATCAGAAGGGCTGGTGATGCCTGCCAGCTCTGGGGAGCTCCCTGAGGAGGGCAGCCACAGGAAAGGCAGGGAACCCAGGAGTAAGAGGGCCCAGGAGCATACACAAACAAAGCAGAAGCCATGGGGGGAACTGGGGACAGGATCCTTCAGGATGCCCTGTTTGGGAGGGTGGGCCAAGAGGAAGAAGGAGACTGGGCACACATTCTGACCTGCCCAGGTCTCACCAGTGGCCACAGTCAGTGTGAAGCTGGATCCTCAGGTGTAAGCAGCAGCTACCACTGCACTCAGCACTCAGGCCTTCCCTGCAAACTCACAGGAAAATGCTGGCAGGGGCGGCTGGAGGCCAAGTGGATGGCCCAGCCCCAGGACCAGACCTGCAAAGCCTGAGCCCTGTCCTGCCCAGCCCAGGGGACCGCCCATCACCAAGGTCAATTGGAGCAAAGGGCCCCACCCCAGGACACTTGCCCAAACGTGTCCCCAGTTCCCCTGAGCACAGTCCCAAGAGAGGTCAGCTCCCCCAACCTCCCCAGTAGAGCCCATCTCTGACCCTCAGTCTTCTGTTTGACCCCTAAGCTAATGCCCAACCCCATATCTCCCTTGGGATGGAGAATCATCAGCTGTCTGGCAGCCTAGAATCCAGTCCTTCTCCACTACATGCTACTGTGTGGCAAAGCTAAAGTCACCTGGCCTCTCTGGGCCTCTCTGCCTCACCTGTAAATGGCATCATCTTGGGAAGAACATAGACCAGGTCCTCAACCATCCTCAACCCTCCCAGCTATACCTCTACTTTTCTGTGGAAGAAGTGAGGTTCGGAGGGGAGCAGGGCAGGCCTGACACCTGACCAATGGCCTGCAGGGTGCCATCCGAAGGAAGATACATCAAATCCCTGCCTCCTCATGTCAGCCATTACCTGCTGTCACCCCAAAGGAGGATGCAGAGGGCCAATAACAAAACAACAGGAGTCTTCCTGCTATAGGAGGCCCTGAAGACACAGGGACCTGACCTGGGAGGGTGGTGCACAGGGTAGAAAAGGGAGCACTAGCCCTGGGGAGGAGGCACTGTCCCAAGGCTCAGCAGGCACATATGGCCCGGGGGTTGCCAATGGCCAGAATTGAAGCTCCTGACCTCACTGAGTCTGACAGGGGCTGATAGAACAGACACATCCCAGGGTTGGGGAGCCCTAAGGCTCCGAGAGGTTGGAGGACCTGTCCATGCAACAGTCAGCAAGGGGGTAGGGGCACAGACTTAACTACAGGAAATTCTGAGTGTGACAATCGGGGGTCTAGCTGAATCTCAGGAGTTAGGTGAAAGCACTGTCCCCCTACAAGCCACAGAAGGACAAGGCCCACATCCCATCAATATGTCTGGTCACCAATCAGTGCCCCCAGAAGTGCCCTGGCTGACTCCACACATTTGCTCTCTGGTGCCTAGACACCCTCCCAGGACACAATGGCTGCTGGATAGTGCTAGAGAGGCCCCACAAGGGAAGACCAAGTCCCTGAAAGCCATAATCAGAGCAGAAATGGATTCAGTCATCAGAAGCCTGACACCTGCCTCAAACCAAAGAACCCTGACTGACCCACTGAACAAACCCTGAAAGGGGTCCTCTGTGTCCATCTATCTACAGATAAGGAAACTGAGGCTCAGAGATGCTCAAGGTCGCTAAGCCTCCAAGGGGGTTCAAAGCCTTGGGCCATGTTGGCCCAGGAGCTGGGGTGGAAAGGATCCATGTGCCTGTCTAGCTGGCCATGGTAAGAGGCAGACCATCTGGGTTCCTCAGGTTGTGGAGGGCTGTCAGGCCCCTGTGGGACCCCACTCTACCCCGTCAACCCAGAGCATTTCAGTTCAGGGAGTCGGGAGTCACCCTCAAACACACCCAACCCAGAAAACAGGCAGAAGCCAAGGAATCTGATCCCTGGGCAGAAAGTTGATCTTGTCACAGACACCAGGGTGGGGAAACTGGAGCTGGCGTCGGGAAGCCCCTCACATCCGGGTAGAGCAGCAGTGAGGTATGGGGTACCCTCAGCAGCAGTTAGAGCTGAGAAGACCCTGAGAGGGCCCTGAAAGTAGGGGAAGACCTGGGTGATTCCCCCTGAATCCAGGGTCCCTCTAGGATGCAAGCTCCCAAGCAGTGGTTTGTCTGGCCAGCACACTAACTCTGGATGGGGATGTTGGTCATAGCAATGCTCCAGCTCTGCTGCCCTCGGCCAGCCTGTCTGTACATTGGGAAGCTGTTCAGCCAGTGGAGGCTGCTTGGAGGAGTCAAAAGGTGCCTGAGGCCTGACACCTTTATCTGGGGCCACTTGACTCCTGTGCCCAGCTACTAGCCCCTGTCCTGTTCTCAGGGGAAAAGATCCAGCTTGCCTAGAATGACTCCTGGAGACAGGGAACTCAGCCTCAGGGACCCCTTGAGCCCCACTCAGCTGCTCAGTTCCCTAGCTTTCTCTCAATCTCTGAGTGGGGGCTACAGGGTTGAGAATGGTTCTGTGGGGGTGGGGAGAACCCAGCATCTGGCTGGGCCAAACCTGAAAAGCCAGTTTCATCCTTGAATCTTCTCTGCCAGGAAGTCCCAAGGTAGGGGGTGGGCGTGGGGGGCCTTTCCCAGCACAGAGCTAGGGCCTCCAGACCCAGGCCCTGCCCACCCAGACAGACACACAGACACGCAGACACACAACCTCACAACCTCAAGTTGCACACACTTAAGAAGGAGCTCTGGTCAGGACCATCTGAGCCTTGGGCAGGAATGGCTGGGGGACCCCTGCCCATTCCCCAACTCAGCCACAGACATGTCCCTGGCAGGGCAAACGGCGAGCCCCCAACCCCGCCCCGCACCTCCAGTGCCCTAAGCACCTGGGGTCCCTCCATCTCCCCAACCAAGAGACCTGTTTCAAGGCACCCTGTAGAGGTCTCGGTTCAGCCCTGGCCTGCACCTCTTGGCCACCGAGCACAGGTTGGGAGCGAGGGGAGGTCTTTGGTAGTAGCTCGCAGAGCCCTGCAGTTTCAGTGTTTACAGATGGGAGAGACGGGTCAGTCCTCACCCCTAGCTCCACAACCACTGCTGTAAGTGCTGCTATGATCCCATCCCCAAGGAGCACGGCTGGGACAGGGATGATCCTGAGAAGTCCCACCCTCTGAGCTGGAGTTTCGACTTGAAGACACCACCCACTAGTGGTGGCCGGGAAGGAAAACGTAAGGGGGGGAGGGTGTAGCTCAGAGGAGCCGGGGACAACCCCGGACTCCGAGCCCTCCAGCTCCCAGGACCCTCAGCTGTTGGGCGGGGGTTGGAGCCGAGCTGTCCAGCTTAGTAAATCCACTGGGACGTGCTAATCCGGCCACGGGCTATTTTTGCGGCGCGCCGGGTTTGGAATCCGGGGCTGGGCCGCCTCCGCGGGCGGCTCGGGAAACTCCGGGAAGGAAAGTCCAGGCGCCTCAGGCGGGGACTAGGTCCAATCCCCGGACCCAGACCCAACCTGGGCCCCGGATCCGACCTGGCTCCGGCCGCTCTA